TCTACATGTATTCAAAGAACTATTAGTTGTTTACGGAATATTTAAATTTGTTGTATTGTTGAATTTTTGTGAAAAAAATCTTGTAATTCTAATTTTTTTTTGGGATGACTGAACTACGAAGGAAATCGTGTATTGATATTGCAAGTTCATATCCTTCGCACAACTTGGAACGAATACTGATTGTCACGTTTAATTAATCACCCTTCGTGTTAACTGTTGTGTACCCAGCAAACCCACCTACAAGATAACGACGTGTCGCAATGTGTATTTGTCCTTAATCAACGTAAGCAGTTGCGAAGTAAGAGCTTTTTAGAAAGAGTATATCTTGTGGAGAATTTAGGTGTATGTGTATGTTTGCTCAGAATTAATGAAGGTAATCATGATATAAGATTGCTTTTGGGGATGTTTGTGTAATAAACAAAATGGCGTGATATAACAGTGATTCTACAGTACATATAAAATACCTAACAGGCTTTTAATGACAAAAGAAGAAATTGTGTCCATTTTATAATAAAAAAGTAATTATATTGTAAAAGCAGTAGCAATAATTAGTAAATAGTGGCTGTGTCAATAAAAAATTCAGTACTTCCCTTGCAAGGGCACCAGCGTTACGTTCCTCAAAACTACTGCTTGTCCTGGGATCCTTTAGAAAGCGATTCTGCTTTGCGTACATAGCCTATTTATTATGATTTTGCAATTCAGGAGCATCCTATGGTTAATAATGAGTTTAATGCTCTGATAGCTGCCTGGCTATCATACATGATAGTTACGTTTTTGTATTTGTAATCTTTATTCAAATCGAACTGAGTCATCCCTCAGTTACGTAGATTTCAGCTTGAACGATACTGTTGTACTTTCACATGGGCGAAGGTGACCGTTGAAAACAAGTCTCTGATTTGAAGGAAAACGTGGTGTTGGAAAAAGGAGATCCGGCGTTCCCTTTTTAATTTAATACTTAAGCTGGTAATCCAAAAGGGAATATATATATATATATAACAAGGTGACAGATTGCTTGACAATTTCGGATGAAGTGGCTATTGTGGCAGAAACGCGAGCAGCTTTAAAAGTCATACTTCAAAGCTGAAGACTATAGCCGATATGTGCAAAAGACAAAATAAATCGGCACGATCCATCGAGCTAGGGATTTCAGAGAACTCGTCACCAAGCAACAAGGTGTCGATAGCTTCAAGTATTTGGGGCCAACCCTCACACGAAAACCATGTTGTGTATCAGGACATTGAAAACAGAATTCGTGCAGAAATTAGATGCTTGGAACATAAGGAAAACTTTCCCTGACAACACAATTTCAAGACTTTTTGTTGTATGGCTTTATGGCCAGATGAGATTTCCGCTCATCCTGAAATGGAATGAACCTTAGGAAAGAATTATAATTTAAGGGAGTATTACATAGTACTAGTAATGAAGACGGGAAGATTGCGCTGGATAGACAACCTTGCGAGAAAGGCTGAGAATAGAGCTATGGCTCAGCATTCTGCAGGTTGAGGTTCTAGGCCGTACAAGAATTTGGTGGCTCAATGACGTGGAAGAAGACCTCAGCTGCTGAGTATCAGACAATTAAAGTTAATACATCATTAAAAAAGCACCGAAGTAAGTAATGTAAAAATGTCTAATAACAAGAGTGTCCTTTTTGTATATATTTTTTATTTACATCATTTATTTCCAAATCCGTTACTAAGTCTCGTTAGAATGTTCACCAATGTGTAAAACCACTTAAGTTACATTGTACCCCGCAGATACTATCAAGTATTATCAATGAAAGTTTACAAATAAATAAAACATCAACTTACTTCAAACGAACCATAAGTCAATTTTATTAACTTTTCTCAGAATCGCAAGAAAAGTATTCTGTAACTTTAAATTGTGTAAACAAATTTTAAAAAAATAATAAAGCGTCAGAAACAGGTTTTTCGTCTGCACCCCACTGTAATGGAATTCGGAAGTAAGTTGATGAGCTTGGCAGAATGGAAATTGAATATCATGTTCTCCTAATTCTGAATTGTGGTTTCCCATTTCTGTCCGGGGGATAAAGTTCATTATCCTTCCGTCTTTTCAATTTTTACAAGAGTTAGCAGTACCCAGTTCAACTGGGCTTTGTGTTACATGAAAGCTTTTAAAATCATAACTTTTTTGTAATACAAACTTTTTTGTTAATGAAGAACGTAAAACAAAAGCACGTGTGGCAAGTATGATATAATCCTAGTCTATAATTGGGTGTAACGTATATCTTTGCTTTTGGTTAATCTTAAATTCTTTATCTAAAATCTTTATCTAAATGTTTTATGAAAAAACGTAACAGCAATAGTATATTTTGGTGGCATATGGCATTGAAGGGTGCCGGGTAAACAAGCGCCGGGAGAAATGTGTTGCAAAAACGAGGACCATTCCCATTTCAGCGGAATCGGCTTCTACAGGTTCCTTTCACCCTCCTCAGGTTTGATTGTCGAGAATGACCCGGCTTATCCAGCTGTTCATAGCCACGTCCGACGGGGTTTTGGTTATTACAGAGAGAGAGCGACAACTTTTTTCGACTGGAGTTTATATTTTGACTTAACAAAAACACATCTTGTTTCGATAACTTTATACGATCAACATATTTAATGGCCTGTTTATGGTATAATCAAATCCCCCATTACTTATTAAGACTATGTTTCGGCGGCGACTGGAAAGCAAATGCAGCGGCGAGAGCAAAAGGTACCTTCTTGGGTACTGGCCGCTTGGTGAAATATTGTCTAAAGCAAACGTATGTTCGTACGTACTGGTGACTGGTAAGCTACCATCGAAGAAGTAATTTGTGTATCTTTCTCCCTCTATTCTTGGATTTACAAAATGCTGTTTCTACAGAAATTATTTACAGAGGGCTTCCCATCGAAAAGGAAGAGAAACCAGAATGAAAACTACTTTTTAATTATTTTTATCAGCTTATTCTTATTTATATAATTACTCAACTAATTATACACAATTTTTTTCGAAATGAAAAATTTGTTTCACAGGCGGGATTCGAACCCACGTCTTTCGGCTAAATACGCCGCTGCTCTACCACTTGAGCTACAGTGACTTCGATCGGCCATGCCACAAACTTCCCATTTCGACTCCCCGTTTATTCCACTTGTAGGCAAATCGCGGCTTCATAAAGAAAATAGTTAGTATTAATCTAGAATCACAACTGGGAATCGTGCACAGCCCCGCTAATGTAGTACAATCGTTAATAAAAGTGTTTCTATATGAAGCCGCAATTTACTAAACAGGGAGTCAACATGGGAAGTTTGTGGCATGGGCGGTTGAAGTCAAGGTAGCTCAAGTGGTAGAGCAGCGGCGATTTGGCCTAAAGACATGGGTTCGAATCCCGCCTGTGACACAAATTTTTCATTTCGAAAAAATTGTGTATAATTAATTGAGTCAGAATGAAAAATGTTTAGACTGGCGAAATGTATCACTCAAGTTAAACGCTTTTCTGATCATGTTAATTACGTGACAACCGGATAGAACTGTTCTTAATAACAATAAAGTAGCCTACAAGATCCTTAAAAAAGCAACTTTTAGAAGAAAAACGATTAAAAACTCATTGGGAAAACTATTTTTAAATATTTTTAAGGGTGAATTTCAACTACGCGTTATATGACGGTGATACCCGGGAAGACGGTGTTTTTGAAAAGAAAAAAGATACCATTCGTAAGGACGTTGGTGGTCTTCATCAACTTCGTCTTGGTTTTTTTTTTTCTTCAAAAACACCGTCTTCCCGGGTTTCACCGTCATATATCCGCGTAGTTGAAATTCACCAGTAAAAATATTTTTAAAAAAGCTTTCCCAATGAGTTTTTAATCGTTTTTCTTCTAAAAGTTTAGAAAAAACTGAATACGAAGTTCGTTACTACCAACGTCCTTACGAATGGTATTTTCTTTCTTTTCAAAAACACCGTCTTCCCGGATTTCACAGTCATATAACCCCGTAATTGAAATTCACCCGTAAAAATATTTTTAAAAAAAAGCTTTCCGAATTAGTTTTTAATGTTTTTCTTCTAATAGTTTAGAAAAAAATACCGAATACGAAGTTCGTTACCACCAACGACCTTACCAATGGTATTTATTTATTTATTTCAAAAACATCGTCTTCCCGGGTTTCACCGTCATATAACCCGTAGTTGAAATATGTACCCCTAAAAATATTTTAAAATTTGTTTTAACCAGACCGCATCTCACGATTTCCGAATAATCATCGACTAACGGTTACTAATCACTACACATATTAAAAAAAACTTGATGTGATGAGTCGCCGCACCATTGGAGCCACTGATGCTCCTCTCTTCAGTTTTTCTTTAATTTAACTTCGAATCCCGCTTGTGACACTGACTTTTTTATCTCAACCAAAGCCTTAATTAATTGAAAAGACTTTAATTTAACCTTCAAAAAAATCTATAAATAAGAAAAGTTGTAGTTGTAGCAAGTTACTTTTCTCAAAAATCAAAATAAGTTAACAGTAAATTTCATGACGTCCAAATTCATTCAGAATGAAAACTCTTTTTTTTTTTATTTAAATTTTCTTAGCATTTCATAAAACCAAATAATTGTTATTATTTTTTTTCTATTTTATTTGTTGAAGCCAATTAATATTGACAAGACTTAGGGTGGCTAGGGCATAGCAATAGTAAAATATAAATGAGACGACGAACGACAAAAACTTTTTCTTCTTATTCCAGGCTCTTGAGGAAAAATAGATGTACAAAATTACTTTATTCATCTAAATAAAAAATGTTTCATTAAAAGTTTTTAAAAGTTTCCCCTTTCTCCTTTCTACTTTTGTCCTCTCTCGATCCGCGCCCCTATACAGTCCCACGAATTCTATTCAATGATCCGCGAAACTTTACCGTTTTCTCGTTACTGTATTTCCATCGTGAAATCGTTTATCCATTTACAAGAGCCTTTCGTCTTTTGATGTAATTCTGTGGCTGTCATTCTCGTAAATAACACGTGTTTTAAAAAGCCTTTCCAACCAGCTGTTATTATTGTTATTAAACTTCGATTTCGACTTTTGTTGTACGACAAATGAAATGACAAGTTCATCTAATGTTGTGATCAATTAAAAAGGGGAAGTGCTTCGGCACGGGTGGACGCTGGGTTTGCAACTTTCACTACTTTTGAGGGACAATTTGATCAACAAGAAAAATCCTCATGCAAATACCTTATGTTTGTTTGATATTCTCCGGTGACATTTGATTTATGCTCTGATAAAAGATGTTTCTGAGTGTATTTACATTGGAATATTTATTACAACGGTCTGTTGTACATAGGTTTGGGTTTGGAGGAAGCTCAAGAGCACTACGAGAACCGACACGCCTGCATCTCGACAACGAACAAGGTCAACTTAAGTGCCATTGAAGTCTCAAATGGCCAAAGAAATGGGTTTTTTGGATTTCTAACAAAACAACCGGTAACAGGCCCAGTTTTCTTATTTGGATTATTTTCTAATTGATAGACGATGCATTTTCCAGATTAGATGAAAGCAAACGCCATCGTTTTCTAAAGCACCGTTATCTATCCTACCAAAAAAAACTTTTGTACTAAACAATATAACATGCAGCGAAATATAATGTTTTTATTAAGTAAGGTAAATGTTCATGTTTCTCGCCATTCACGCTAATAAATACATGCACTCAGACAAAACATATATAGAAGAATCCTATTCTTATGTACTTTAGTCTCTTTACCGTTACGAGCACAGGAACCCTAAAAATATTTTCAGTCTCACAGTAAATTCATCTTCCTACAATGTGAGCACTTGTCGTAGATGTCCATGTTACGCATAAGATTTGCCAGAATACTTATGCAATTCTGGTTTCCCTTTATTAATTGCAATTATTAATTTTGGCACTACCTATGATTATTTGGAGATCGTGAGATGCGGACTGGTGTGACGTAGGTTTTAGAAAAACATTTTCTTTATTAGAGTCTTTACAATTCCAAAACCTACGTCACACCAGACCGCATCTCACGATCTCCAAATAATTATTGGCTAACGGTCACTAAACACCACACATCTGGCACTACCATTCAACAGAACTACCCCAATCCAATGAAAATCAATCATAAAATTGCTAATCCAAAACTCGAAAACCTCCGCAATCTACCTGCGCGTCAGTTTGATGCCATTACGTGACAAAATCCTTGGAAAACTAAAACATCTGAAGTCTCCAGTGCCATTCTATTCCAACAATTTGGGTTCAGGCGTCACCACTCTACCATCATTGAAGTGTAACACAATGTTTTAGACACCACTGCATCCTCCCATGGGCGAGTAATGAGAGAGTAATGTTACTTGGAAGCTTTGCTAAACTCACATCTCAAATCTCCATAGAAAATGGGAACCAGGATTGCTCTTAAAACTCAACAGGATTCTTCTTTCACTTATTGCGACATCGTAAAATTCTATCCTTCCAATCGGTGCTTTCAATACAAATCGAAATATCTTTCGCCCCCATCCACTATACCGAAGTGTGTTTCGCAAGGCCGATTCTTCTGTTCCATTCTCTTTCGAGTTTACACCAAGTACATATTACATATGCAATGATATCGCCATCCTTTCAGCAAACCCAGATCCAGTATTATCCAGGACTACCTCACCTGTTTGAAACAAGAACTACAAGATCAGACTAATGAAACAAAACCGCAACAAATAAGTATTTTTAAGTTTATACAAAGACGATATAAACTACGTTAAAGACTACATGACAAAAGATCGAAACCCTCACTATCGAGCAAAAGCCTCATTCGTTTCATCGATCAAAACATACTGGATCGAACTGTGGGATTCAACCGAGCGTTCCAATCTCCAAAGAACACCATCAGAACAGTCCAAAATTCTTCGGGCCATTGCCCTAGCTCTCTTCTTCCTATTCATCGTTATGTCGACACAGTACTCCTAACATACGCATACGCCGACCTCCTTTCACCTAGCTCAAACGCAGTGTGTAACTTCAGAAACCTCCATGACCAAAGTAGATACTCTGTTTGGAAGATGGGTCCAAGAAATGGAAAATGCTCAACTCTCCTCCAATTGTCTACAACTTTGTTCCAACCAAGCTTCAAACCTCCAAGGAATCCAATCAATTCAGCCCAAAACCTCCAAGCTGCCCGTTTCGTATCCAACCTTACTACCAACACAGACCTTCAATTCTCATTTATACTCGAAACCGATAGAATTCGGAACAGACGCTTCCATAAAACCCCAGCTATCCCTCATAGATATTGTCCAACAACTTTCATCCCTAACCATTTCCGACAACCCTCCAAAACGCATGAAACGACAACGGCATCGGTAATGTCTTCGCCATGAACTTATGTAACTTCTTGGTAGGTGGTAAACTAGACAGAAAGACTTTTTACAAACTGCGGAGGGCCCGTCGCCAGACTCAAAAAATTATTTTATGGGATCTGATCGCACTTTACGTGATTATGTGACAAAGACCGAGTTCCTGTTTGAATTTTATTTCATGGTCTATTAAAGAAATACAGCTATTAATTTTGGGATTTACGAACGGCCTTTTTTAGTAATTATGTAAGTAATAGAAATTTTATTGTCTATTTTCCATTATAAGTCATAATAATTTATAAGATATATATGTATAAATATCCAGATCATATAGAAAATTGAACGCTGAGTAAAAAATGGCGTATGAACCTGTGTCTGCAAACCCTCGAAACAACTCTGTAGAGGATTAATTTCTGCGTCGAATGAAATTAAAACCAGCCTGATCGGCCGAAAATTTCATTTTTTGGCGATTTTTCGAAGTTAGGAGGTGAAGGGGTACACAAAATTCACCATTTCTGACATTTTTATCGAAAATTCACAACTTCGGTTAGCCGTACAGATTTTTCGTACATTATTTAATTCAGTAGGGGGTACCCATCAGAAATCAGAAAACAGTTCAAGTTGTGGGTGGGTGTGTGTGTGGGTGTGTGTGTGTGTGTGTGTGTGTGTGTGTGTGTGTGTGTGTGTGTGTGTGTGTGTGTGTGTGTGTGTGTGTGGTTGCTTTATTTTTGTTTTATTACATGGTTATTTTTTAATTTGGACCATGCAACATAGCATTTTCTTACAATGAGTTTGGGTGTAATGTGTACCAACTTTTGTGCTATTGGTTTATATTTCTTAATATATGAAATATATTTAAAACAGTTAATATATTTCAAAAATTGCATTGTCTTGTGCATGCCAATAACATAATAAACAGGTTTTTTCTTCTTATTGTTATATTCTGTCTGCAATGTTATAATTTATATCATTTTAGTCTATCTGTGTATTTGTTGTTTTCTACTAGATAAATAGTTGTGTCACTGTATATAAATTTTATTTTTTATTGACTGTTGGATATGGTTTTGTTATTGTCTAGATGTTTTTAATGAAATTTCCAAAGAAATTCTGCAAATGAATTGCATTTTAATTTTTTTTACGTTTAACTGTATACAATATCAAAATATAATAAAACCAACATTTCCCAACATCATGAGTTGTAAATCATAATAAACGTACCAGATACATCACAGGGTGAGGTCTCGTTTGAGATAACAAGTGTAACCTTTGAGTAAGATCGTACCTTTTAAAACGCCGGTCCGTATTTGCGTCAGTTATATCAACTTTTGTATTTACATTTAATTGAATATTGTTGTTTGTTTTATATATGTAATTATAATGAAAATGCATGGACAAAATGAATTCAAAATAAGTCGCAAGGCTGCTCTTTGTCGATATACCTTTTTTTAAATAATCTTCCTGTTTAATAGTGGAATCAATGCAACTCTTCACGATCCACGCTTTTAAATATTCGTTGGGGAGAGGGTGAAAATAAATCATCGGCCGATAAAATCCCATTGTAATATCTCATTATCTTGCGCACGGTCCGGAAGGGTAAACTAAGCTGGTTGTTTGCTGGAATGGAAGGGGGCATCGCGTCGGCGAGGGGGTTAGTTTTCAATTTAAATTTCACACGGCGATTGACGTACGCGCAGCACCCAACATGAAAATTGATTGGACATGTAGAACAGTTGATACAAAATTTCCCAAAATCCTACGCGCCTTGAACTATCGGACTTCAATTAACAAGTTAACAAATCGTTTATCATCGTGTCATTACTGTCAAAGAAACATCATGGATATAACTCGGCAATAAGTTAAACGCTAGTTCAATGATGACAAGCACAAACTAGATAAAAATATCGTTTACACTGGATGTTTTTTCTATCTTCTATAAAAAATCAAAAAGATCTAGAATGTATTTTTTTAAATATCTTATTTGTAAATTAATTTTAGAAAGTAAGTTAAACATTAGTAACCACTGATTTTAACAGGGGCCTGATACTTCCCTGACGGTATATACGTCGGGCTGGTTTAGCATAACTGTTGAGCCGCAAAAAGGTACAGTTCGTAGGAAACCAGATTGAGCAATCGAGAAAGCAATACTTTATTAAACAATGACTTAATATTTACTTAAGCAATAATTTATGACTTTAGAAAGCAAAAATTATTAAAAGATTATTTTTAAAACACGAACAATCAATAAACAATCCGTCAGTATTAATGACTTTCAACCGCCGTTCAAAAGAAGACTATAAAATAATTTATTCATTTTTAACGATTTATAATAACTAAAAAAACAAATAAACTAAGTCAGATTTTATGGTAAAGATGGTCTAATGTGGTTTTTGAAACCTGGCACAAGAATCTGTGCTTATCGTACTTCTAGTTCCTCCGTGTTCAGAGTGCCTTCATCATAACTTTTTTCAAAACAGATTAATTAATATTAAACTAGAAAAGTTTTAACTTTATCTCAATAAATAAAGGTACACAGTTCAATCTAAAGTTTTAACTTTATTTGAATAAATAAAGGTACACAGATCAATCTAAATTGTATTCAATGAGCAATCTGAAGGTAGGGCCTGGCCCAAGCCAGGCTTAAATACTTAGAACCAAGTCTAATTGAAAATGACTTTATAGACTAGTTAAATGGTAAATGCTGGAAGGTCCTTGTCAATTTCACTTAAGATTCTTAGCAGTACTGATATGAATTAATTACAGAGGTCAATTATTAAAGGGGACTACAAAATTATTGTAGACAGGTGTAGGCTCTTTATTGTATTAATTTAGTTAGTTAATTGATTTTTTTACTTTCGTATTTAGATTTGGGCGTAATTTTTATTTCTGTTATTTGCGAAAAAGAAAGACGACCTCTCTGTCGGTGAAATGGCCTACAATATAGTCTGTCACTTGATTCTTTGTCATTGTTTATTTGTATTTTCTTCTTTTTTGATAATAAATACTTATTATTATTATAAGGAGTTCCAATTTTGGTTTTATTTATAAACAATTCCAGTTGAAAATTCTTATTTCTGGTAGATTCAACAGATTTTTTTTTTTTTTTTATAATGTGATATACGTAGACTTTTCCATGTCTGTGACCTGTCAATATATTAGGCAATGGTTACAATATTGTTTTACGTGGTATGTATAGCATGGTAGCCAGTTAATGTGAAGTTTTTGTTTCATTCTCAAATTATATAAAAATAAAAAAAATTGTAAAATAATATTCAATATACTTTTGAATCTGTCTGGAATTAGGTTTTAAAATAACTGTAAATTGAAAGAACAGTTAGCAATTTTTTCAATTTGAAAAATTAGTTGAAACTTGTATATTTAATTAAGAAATGTCGTTCTCTTATTAGAGAGATATGTTGAGCTGGAGTGCCTGGGAAAAAATGAGGTAGTCGTCTGGGTACCCAGATGTTGGCGGGGAGAGGAGGCGATATCTGGGACGTCTTTCCTCCAAACAGAATGCGATCCGGCCCAATGAAGTATGAACAGTAGAGAAGCTCTTACGTGTCAATAACACGCCTGAACGATTGCCCACCTTAGGTCTGAAACTCAAGGAAGGGATCGTGCTCAACCGTTTGAGGATAGGCCATACTTGATACACGGCCATCTACTTTTGGGAAAACCCAACGCAGTGGTCCCGCTTGTAGAGAATGGTTGCTCAGCGTGCTCACTTAGTCGAGGATTGCTAGCTGAGAGGAGGTAGCGAATAGGCATGACACCCAACATAAAGGCAGTTCTTATAAATATATGAGAGGGATGATGGTGTAATACCAAGTCTAGCCCTCATAGTGCAAATGTCGACGATCCTATCTCATTATGTTTTAATAACAACTAAAAGTTACATCCTATGATGTTAACGGTGAAAATTTGAGAGCTGCTATTTCCAAGAAATTAAGGTTGACTCGTCGTCCGTTATGAATTGTTTAATTATTTGAAAATACATTTAAGGCTTTTGTCCAAACAGTCATTCATCTATTTTCCTATTGCTCCCAAAATATTTATTATGGGCATGCCGATAACAATAAAATAATAAAATCAGACATCTATACGTCTCACGTCTACTGCTCCTTGGCATGTAAGAGGTGGCCATGTACATTCTTGAAGTAAAAAAAAAATTGTAAGATCATCTTATTATATTGTCTTCCAACGGAAATATCATCATCTGAAGACACTTATCTTTGGGCTACAGAGGAAAAATAATCATTCAGTTTTTACCATTTTTTTAGAAAGTTAGATATTTTTATTTTAGAAACTTAGAAACCCCTCCTAAACTAGGATTAAAGTTTTTGTTTATTTAAAATGTTTTCTCGTAGTATAAATTAAGTTTCGGTCCAAAGGTCAAAGAGGCCAAATTTGGAGAGGCCATGGACGGCATCCTTCCGACTGTCAAAAGCTCGCTAACTTCACTTTATAAGTTTGTTTCAACCGCTATCCTTTCCAAATTCTAATTCTTGAATAATCAATCACCCATTTTTATTATTACTGTTATTAATATTATTATCTTATTTGTATATTAAGGAGAAATTCGAATTTGTTATCGTAAAACTTTAGTTCACTTTTCCAAAAAGTACTTTTTTTAATATTATCTGTTTAGGTCATCTTTCGTTATTACCTCTAGATTACAGTCAACTCAAGCACAGGGTTTTAAAGGTTAACTGTGATTTTCTTTACGATCAATAAAAGTACGTTTTAATTTCTTTCATCCTACTATAATCGCCTCTGCAATTGTCTACCGTAACCCTATTATGTCTAAATACTGAATACCACGAGACGCCGACAATGGTCAGAATACAGGAATTATAAATATATACCAGAAACATACAAAGAAAATCAGCAGAACTGCAATTCTCCAAAACTGGACAAAAGTGGTTGTACAATCAACAATTCCTAAATCATACATTTAGGGATGGTTAGGACAAAGCAAAAAAAAAAAATCATAAATTAATTACAACTAAATTCCGAAATACTGCCTCTTTTTAAAAACTCTAATGCAATACAGTTACTGCGGTTCAATTAATAATTTATTTTATCAAAACAAAAGCTGAAAGTTGACAAAAAACTTCATTAACAAAATACGCACATGTTCGCCTTTCGAAAACTAAATAATTGAGTTGATTAGGTAACTCAACATAACGTAGCTTGTTTCTTAGTTCGCACACCTGAATCGATTAAGGCATTAATTTGGTCGGATTGAAAGTTGTATTGTAAACGGCTTAATTTAGTTTACTGTTCTTTTACGCAGTAAGTCAAATAAAGTCAACAGTGTAAAGTAGTTTTTGTCTTTTCGACGTATGTCCGGCCTTTTTGACAACATTTCCCTTGCAGAACTGATCAGCTGAAAGGTCTTTTCGGTATATGATGTAACGTTTCGGACAAATTGTATTCTCCGAGGTATTTTCTTTGTCATTTACAGTACTTTTAATAAGCGTAACAACGAGTATTAAATTGATTACTTTATATGATAGAACATGTTATAGATTTTCTTAAATGTTTTAAAACATTTGTAAAACATCTTTATAAGAGTGACATTAAATAATTTGCTAAAAATAAAAGAAGATTTCTAATAAAATGGGTCATTTAATGATTACTGTATTGTAAATTCAAATCTGAGTTTATATGTACATACAAACAAGCGAGTACAGAATTGAGCCTATCACTTCTAGCAGTCCACCAGTACTTCCTGCTTTCGTAATTTACAACAAATTTCCGACAGGTTTCGAGAGTCAAGCACCCTAGTTGTTGGCAGTCCCGGTTCAGACCACGGTCTTTTTGGGTTCCTCGACATCAGCTAGGTCATTTCAGCCCCCAACGCACAACTAAATCCAAACTCATTCATGCACTCACTCTTAAATACACTCTTTATTATTTATATACCATTCACTCAGTTAGGGTGGTGGAGTATCGATATCCGTCCATCACTCTTTCCACATTTACATAACTAACATAACGAGGGTCGATGTGTATTCTACATTCCGCCATCGGCCCTCTTACACATTCACGCCAATAAATGCATTCAGTCTCATTGCACGCTAAGTGCACAAACTTATCAGTACAATATGCAATAAAACAACCCAGTTTCTTCCAAAAATCGAAACAAGGGTCACCGTTACTTGCTAACGTGCTCAAGCACGTTATCGGGTAGCTGCATTGATACCACATACCGGACACATACTTGGGCTTTGGCCCAAAAGTAAGTGTCCATGTGTCAACCTCGCTTGGCCTATTCTTAATCGGGTGATATTAACCCCCTCGTCGTCAGGTCACGTCAGATCATCCGAATAATTGAAATTTTATATTTATACTTTTCTTTGTACTAAATTTATAAACGTTATATGTAGAGATCAAAATCAATTTATCGAAACCGGTTGCTATATTTTAATCATTTTTCATCGTTTACTTATTGAAAATTTTCCAATTTTGTCTTAACTTCTTGATGTATATAAATGATTTCAAGCCACAGATACCTCAAAATCTTGAAATTCTTAAATAATACATTTTCTTTTCCAATTAAAAATAAATTATAAATTGAAATAATTATTATTGTTTCACAATTATTAATAATAGACTAAATAAATCTCAGATTATTGGTCCCTTCCATGGAATAAGTCCCCAGCGCATTCTCTTTTTGTCCCCTCCAACTGAAACGTTTCAGATAGCAGCACAAATCAACTGATAACGTATTGAAACAATAAAAAGTTTATTTTTAAACAATAAATTGATATAAGTAAACTTTATTATATTATTTTTTATTATATTTTTAACTTCTTCGTGTTTTAAACACTAAAATTGTTAGATAAAGCTGCTTAATTTAAATTTGTTTCATGAAAGACAAATTAGCATTGGAATCGGATTAATTTTCAAGTGATACCAATAAATTTTTATTGATAATTTGATAAATAAGTTTTCTTTGAAAATTTCTAACTTCTCTTAACATCTTGGTATAAAGCTTCTTCAGACATCACCACTACTATTTCAAAATCTTGCCTGTTTTTTATCGACCAACATTTTTTAATTATTTTTTAATCATGGCACAATAATAAATTGAATTTTGTAATTAATTATAGGTTGTAAAGGTCCGATGATGTAATAACCTAAGCACGGCTATAAATTTATTTTCTTCCGTTAGGCCAAAAAATTACCATAAATAAATACATATTTTCCCTTTAAATAATGGAATTGAAAATTTCTAGCAATGCAGCTCATAATTCAACCACGAGAATGTAAGAAATGAAACAGTTAATTTCCAACAGGAAAATTAATTTTCATTTTGCCATAAAGAAGCAAGGTTTTATTTAATTATTGCTTACATTTGTTTATTAGATTTTTTGGAGGAAATTTGCTTTTGACATTGATAAAAGAACGGTTTTTATCTAAATATGTGGAAATCTTTACTTCAGAATGTAAAACAAATAAGTCTGCACTTTTTTTTCTAATTTGTCATTAATTTGAGTTATCTGTTCGAAAAGAAATCGTTGAAATGCGAAATCTAAATTTAAAAAAAGTTGTTTCAAAATTTAAAAAAACTTGCGATTTTAATTGAAATCATGTGTTTACATTGCCTAGGTGATTTTCGCGATTCCATCTCTTTTTATATTATTCTGAAGTTCACTGTTAAAGATTAAACACTAGGAACTAGAGATATTTATTTTTCTAAAATAATTTTTTGAACTCTTTTTTTACGGGAGAAAAAACTGGAATTGGGCACTTTTGATTTTCAATTGGGTCTATAAGTAAATTTCTAAAAAAATCATATTAGTTCAAATTTAAAGTCAAACACCTGACCGAATTGAACAGTCTTGTTTGATATTTTGCCGGAAACAGTCGTTAGTTTTATTGTTATTTCTTTATTATTATTTAAATAACATGGTGAGTACTTTTTATTTTGCGTTTACAGCTTTAAGCTGTCTTAGATTAGCATTTAACAATGATATTTTTACGTTTAATAGCAGGTTTAACTTTGTTCATAAAACTTTTCCAAAAAGTTGTGTAAGTACATGAAAGAAAATGGTATTCGGTTTGCATAATTCTGAATTAACTCCCAAATCAATTTGATTATGCTAATAATGTAAAAATTTAAATAATTTGAAATGGCAAATAACATTTTTTTCCTTGGACGGTTAACAGCTGTCATCTTTTACTTTAAACTTAAAGCTCTTTGACAAAAACTTTTTTCCCTTTTAACTCTCTTTTAAAACCACATTTAATCCAAACTTTTTTAACATGAAAACTTGTTCTAAAATTTAACCCTTCTTGGCCCATATTTTTCTTATCTTGGGCATGACTTTTTAAACAAACGTTCAAGATTTATTGTCTAAAGTACTTGTATTTTTTAAAGCTTTTTAAAATTTACTGCAATGGTTTTAAGCTGTAAGTTATTAACAGTTGTATTTAATTTTTATCCCAAAAAATTAATAATGTATTTTCCGAATAATACAGATAATTTCAAAATATAAACATTGGTGAAAAAACATCAAACTGTCATAATCCGATAAAACTATTTAATTACATACAAAAAAATAACTTTTTCTTTAAATAATCTAAAAACTGATATTTGAATTACTGAATTTTTGACCATCATTTTTATAAAAATATGTCGATATAAGGCCGTGACAATTCTTTATTTTTTTACTGCAGAATATTTTTCTATGCTTCTTTTAATAATCAAATTTGTTTTTATAAATCAGTTAATTTCATCCGGCTAATATTTTTGTATGTTTTCTTCTGATTAACCGTTGAACTTTTCAAAAAGAAAAATTAATATTGTATGGAAAATAAACAACTCTCACAAAATCTTCACTAGATAAAACTTGTCAGCCCTTTTCACGGTTTTGTTAATAGTTATAACAACGCGGAATGTTTTGTTTTGTAGAGGGAAGTAATATCAGTGCATGCTGGGCAAGCAGGAGTACAGATCGGAAACGCCTGTTGGGAATTGTACTGTCTCGAGCATGGTATTCAACCAGATGGTCAGATGCCTTCGGACAAAACTGTCGGAGGTGGAGATGACAGTTTCAACACGTTCTTCAGCGAGACAGGCGCCGGAAAACACGTACCAAGAGCCATATTTGTCGACTTGGAGCCTACAGTAATCGGTAAGTTGGTAGGTAAGCCCGTTTTTAACTCGTGTCACTGATTGCCGTCCTTTGCAGATGAGGTACGAACGGGAACTTACAGACAATTGTTTCACCCCGAGCAGCTGATCACAGGCAAAGAGGACGCAGCCAACAACTACGCCAGAGGACATTACACCGTTGGAAAAGAAATCATCGACTTGGTGTTGGACAGGATCCGTAAACTAGCTGATCAATGCAGTGGATTGCAAGGATTTCTTATTTTTCACTCTTTCGGCGGGGGTACCGGAAGTGGATTTGTTTCACTCCTGATGGAAAGATTGTCTGTAGATTATGGCAAGAAGAGTAAACTTGAATATGCTATTTATCCTGCACCCCAAGTGAGTCGAATTTTGAACTCCAGTCCAATTAATTTGAAGTCCTTTTAAAAAGATTCGTTTTATCTAATTATTTTTAGATTTCCACCGCCGTCGTTGAACCTTACAATTCGATTTTGACCACCCACACCACTCTGGAACATTCCGACTGTGCCTTCATGGTAGACAACGAAGCTATTTACGACATTTGCCGACGAAACCTAGACATTGAAAGACCAACGTACACAAACTTGAACAGATTGATTGGACAAATCGTTTCCTCCATTACGGCTTCACTTCGGTTCGACGGCGCCTTAAACGTCGATCTGACCGAATTCCAGGTAAGAAACATGAACCATTGATATCGTTTAAAACAAATTAACGACGATTTACCATTGCAGACCAATCTAGTACCGTATCCTAGAATTCATTTCCCCTTGGCGACCTACGCACCGGTGATTTCAGCGGAGAAAGCCTATCACGAGCAACTCTCGGTCCCTGAAATTACAAACGCGTGTTTTGAACCAGCCAACCAAATGGTAAAATGCGATCCACGTCACGGAAAATATATGGCCTGTTGCTTGTTGTACAGGTAAAACACTGAACATTACGTTATTAACGGGAAGTTTCCGTATCGTAATAAATGCTGAATGTATTTTCTTGTTTGACAGGGGAGACGTGGTCCCTAAAGACGTCAACTCGGCCATCGCGACTATTAAGTCAAAAAGGACTATTCAGTTCGTGGATTGGTGCCCGACCGGATTCAAGGTAAACCCATCAATCGTTTATAGTTAAACCTAAAATAGTTATCAATCGTATTAACAGGTCGGAATCAATTACCAACCACCGACTGTCGTGCCTGGCGGTGATCTCGCCAAAGTGCAAAGAGCTGTCTGCATGCTGGCTAACACGACAGCCATCGCCGAGGCTTGGGCAAGACTTGACCACAAATTCGATCTTATGTATGCCAAGCGTGCATTTGTCCACTGGTGAGCTTTTCGTTTTATGAAGTGACACGATAAAATGTCATAAAAAAGTACAATCGGATTTAAACCTCTTTGACAACAGGTACGTAGGTGAGGGCATGGAAGAAGGAGAATTCAGCGAAGCCCGTGAAGATTTGGCCGCCCTCGAGAAGGACTACGAAGAAGTCGGAATGGACTCGGTCGAAGCAGGAGAAGGAGAAGGAGGAGACGAAGCATAAATTACAACCCCTCTAATACCAAATATTATATTATAAATGAGCATGTGGCGAAAACACAAATTGTCTTTTTTCCGTTTTAAAACACCCTATTGGCCAATTGCGTTTGATTTGGAAACTGGCACGAAGGGCAAAACGTTTTAAACGGGCAATTTTACATTTCTGATTCCGCAAATTTAGTTGAATTAAAAAATTATTCGTAAAAACCGGTCTTTTTATTTACCTACATTGTATATTAAGCCTTGGAGAAACATGGACACAAGTTGAAATATAAATTGTCGACAAGTCAAGCCCCGAGATATAAATTTAAATTTTTATAATTTTCATATGAAAAAAAAGCATTAGAGTCCACAGGGCGGATTGGAGTGAGTTGTTTATTCCAACCATTAAATTTTCCTGAAGTAATCTTGTACTACAGAGTTTTTACCGACCTCTTCTCGGTCAATTATTCTTCTTTGTACCTTCCCCTCTAATTTACTTGCTTTCCCCTTTCTCGTCAAATTGGACGTTCCTTCTCAAGAAAAAATCCTATTTATTTTTTTTTCTGTTCATATTCTGTAAAGAATTTCAATTTCCTGCTCTAAATAAATTGGTTTGAGTTTAAAGAAAACATTACTAAACCTTAACATAGTTCAAATTGATGACCGTATAAAAGATGTAAACTGGCTTTGATTTTGTTCGACATTTATCCTGTTCAAACTACGAATTGATAGTTTCGTTGGAAAAAACTTCCCTAAATATTTCAGTTTTGTATTACAGGTTTTTGACATTTAGCTTTTACAGTTTTATTTCGTAGGTAACGGGAATCCGGATTGTAACCCCATATGGCACCCTGCTGACAATGTAGGGAGGAAGTGAGCATATGTTCAAAAGCTGTTTCAGGAAGCATAAATATTTCTTATTATAAAATGACAAGTAGCACATATGTACAAAAAAGATTTGTCTTAAAAAAATCGCCGTTTTCTTTTTTAAATAAAACGTTATACCATTGTCACTTATTGTCAATTAAAAATAAGTAAAATCATGAAATTTCTGATTTTTTGTCATAATTAGGATTTTGTAAAGGTTTATTAAATATTGTACTAGTTGAGACATAAAAAATTGCTCTGAAAACGAATGCTGACTGGTTTCTAACTATTTATCGTCTCTCGTCGATAATTTACTGATTTAATAATTTACTTCTCTCACGATTCCTAGCAACTGCAGAACATTTCATCCTGCATAGTATTGCCTAATATGAAATTCGGTTTACCTCATTGTCATTCTTGTCCTCAACAAATATCCATACGTTCACCGATAAAATATTAATAATAGTCGAATAAAAGCATACATTCGCACTTTGATCGTACCAGTTCACTTAGCCCTAGTATTTTTGTTGTTTTGATTAGTGATGTTTGTTCAGCGTTAGTGAGCCTCATGGGCTTTCAATCCTCCCAAGCAAACTTCATAAATACGTGTTTTGGTTTACATTCATTGGCGGTGAACAAAGAAGTATGAAGTAAGAAAATTGAAATCTTTTTTATGAATTAAATTTTGAAATTAACTTTTGACTTTTCACTGAGCCAGAATACACTACAATATTTAAATTCACTATTTTTCGTGGTCCGCTTGTCCAATTAATATCATTCAATTAATTAAGGTTTTAAGTTGAGATAAAAAAAGCCAGTGTCACGAGCGGGATTCGAGCCCACGACCTTCGGCTAGATACGCCGTTACTCTACCACTTGAGCTATCGTAACTTCGATCCCCTCGGGCACTAACAATATTTAAAGTTTATTACGGACTTCTGGGACTTATTTCGCCAAACCCCTATAATGAGCCCAATGTTTTTCGATGTACCAACATTCTTTAAAATTTCACTCCAATTTATTAAGAGAGCTGTGAGCAGTGCTAGCTTTGTGAAACCCATTGGTACACCTTTTTTTAACCATGTTCCATTAGACAGAACCCTCGGTACTTGTCTAATATTTTTCTATCTAGTATCACTAAAAAATTTCATTGAAATTGGTGACTCCACCTCCCTAGCCTTCCCTTTTCGCTCAAGTCAACCACATATTGTCAAAAAACAATTGCTAATTGCTACATGGTAGTGTTTTGCCACCCTTATTGTTTTGATATACATGATGAGTCTCCGACATCTAGGCTGCACTAAAGACAATTACATCATTGGTAGTAAAGTCGAAATCTGTTTGAAAATGAATTGAAAAAGACATTTGTGAAAACAACAAAATTACTTTTGTTTTGGAGTAACGAGAAGGCTGAAGAAAAGGACAAGGAAAGTTTGATCAAAATACCCATCGGCCCTCGTTCGTTACATGCCAACTTCCCCAAAACGCAAATCCAAAAGACAATGGGTTAACTACATAAGTCCTATGCGCAATGGGAATATTTCTCTCGATAGTTGCATGAGAAATCGAACATTTCAGAACGGCAGAACTCTGAACTTAGGACATGTTAGGGCTAGAATGAAAGCAGGACTGCCGACTGGACACTGCAGTCTCCGGAGGCATATGTATAGAGTCGGAGTAGCAGAAACAATCCTGTGCAGGTATTGCCAAGAAGAAGAAAAAACAAGAAGCATGTCCTCTGTTGGTGTGAAGGCCTATACTAAATGAGATCCTACTCCTGAGAGGAGGAAGAGACAAGGTCAGGAAGTTACATGACCCTTAATGATGTTTTAGGATCTTTTAAAAAGTCATGAGCTTCGCGCGCAAGGTCGTAATGAGACCAACTCCTAACAACCTATGTTGGAAGGAGGACATCTACAATTGCCGGTTTGGCAGATATTAAGAATATAATTGAAAGAACCGTTTCATCATCATATTGCACAATGGGTTAATATTTCAAAAATTAATTAACGATATTGTTAACACAAAATCCGCTTGTACTGCTTATGGTTGATTAAATTTATCTAAAACGTCTTAAGCTTTTCCAAATAATTTTAGTTTATGCATTTCGAGGCTGTTTTCCCTCAGTACATTTTTTATTTTGAATCTCAACAACAAGTTTAAAGTTTTAGTCCCAAGTTTTGAGAAACCATTTGGGATCGGTATATACATTAAAAAAAGTTTTTCATCCAGGAGGATTTAGGTCGAGGGAGTAAATATGTATGAAGCGGTTATTCAATTACAAGGTTATATGAACCCTTGCGGTGCCAGTGTTTTTTAAAAAGTTGTATTTTTACAAACATATTTTACCATATTCAATGTTTGGAGAATTATATGTATTTTACACGCGTTAAATATATTACATTTGTCCTGAGAACCTGATATGTTTATTTTTTGCCTCTTTTTTTCTGACCGAACCTTTTTCATAAATTAAAATACATATATAAATTTAAAAATTAGGGTGGTGTGTTCTTTGTTTAGTTTTAATAATTAATTTTGACTGTACGGATAATCAAAAAAGAAAAAGTTGCACTAAGTTTTGCACGTTTCAATTCACGTTTCACTTTCAAAAGCATGAATCATAACTTGAACGGAAGCCTATACTTGATCATCTTTTTAATGTTGTTCAGTATTGAACGAAATAATCTCACGATAGATTTCGTTCAACTATGTATTTTCTTATTGATCAACAAAAGTGAGAACTCGCCTTAACAGGCCTACGAGTTGCTTTAGGTCTACCGGAAAGACCTAACGGAGTTAAGGGCTTAGTAGAACGCTTTCAAATCTTTTTCTGCAAACTCTGCAAAGTACAAAATTCATTTTTACGTTGGTGGAGGATTTCATAATTGAATTGCTTAAGTTGTGATAATTATTATAATTATTATAATTATTCCATCTAAAGTAGATCCCGGACTATTTTACTATGAAATCTTTTTGAGAACAAAAAATATCAATTACTGTTTTCACGCTATATAAACAAAAATAAGTAAATATCGCATCAATTAGCATTAAAATAAAATGACAAAATCAAATTTTTAGTTTCGTGGTGATGAAAAGGTACGAAAAATGCTTGGTAGCCATTTTGTTTGTTGTTTGATGAACGCGTTTCGGCCTTTCGCCATCAGAGATATAAGCAGGGAATGACAGAAAACACAAATCATTAAAGATGGTGAAATGCGTCTGACAGGTTAAAAATACGAAGATACAAGAGGTTCGTCACCCCGCAGACCTCAGAAAGAATTCTCACAATACGTTCACAAATTTCTGTGATTGAGGTCAGAAAACTAACATTAAGGAAGCAACACTTTTTAATTTAAAACAGAAGAAGAAAAGAAGAAACAGCATTTATTTTGAATACAAAGATTTTCTCTTCTCTCTTTTTTAAAACATTACTTTTAGGTGTGAACTAATGTTTACCTGCCAAGTTGACTAAAGTTAATTAAGAGATGCAACAATACATTAGAAATTCGATAAATGGATGAATTTAACAATTTCTTGTTTAATTAAATAATTGTTCAAAGCTTTCCCTAAGCTTCGGCGGGGAAAAAAAGAGCCAGAAGAAGAAAAGGTTATGCAGTGAGGAGGATGAAACAGCCACCCTTAACATATTCGAAAGGAATGTGCCAGGTGCGCACGTTAAAGAACATCAGTGTCATTCTGATGGCATTGCGACCCCCAATGGGAAGCATACATACTGGAAGGGAGACGTAACCTGAGATAAAAAGAAAACCCAGGGAAAGAAATTGTAGCAACAACGGTCAATGACCTCCTTAAAAGAACGATTGAATCGACATATTGAACTAAGGAACTAGGAAAAGTATAAGTCTGAAGGCTGCAGTGCTCGGGAGACATGAAACCTGCACTTCTTACATTTCTATTATCATCATCAAGCCGAACCATAGCATTCATATTCCATCGCACCCTCGGAAATGACATTTGTTTATTATTATCTTTAGTTAACAGGCCAACCGCAGCCGAACCAGGATTCTGGTTGAGCTCCTGACAGAGCACTGCCACATAAGAAGGCACATGCACCGGATAGGAGTACAGACAGAAGAAACACGGTGCAGATACTGCCAGGAAGGGGAGGAGACCGCAGAACTAATTCTATGTTTCTGTGAACGCCTATTTAGGTGCCGGTTCTTGCAACTAGGACAAAAAAAACTGCAAGAAGGTCATACACTAAGAAGCCTCTGGCAAAACTGTGTAGGCTGATTAATAACCTGAAGCTGGCCAGTGAGTTATAAATAACAGGGGAGCACAATAGATATATTTAGGTTGAGGTGCAGTAGGCCTTGTGGCCGGTTTTTTTTTTATCCCTATGCCTAGTTAACAGGCAAAAAGTAGGAGTAACAGAATGTCAAAATTATCTGTTTATAGAATCAAATCCTTCTATCTCTCTATTTTGCTATTTGCAAGAGGCCATCTTCAAATAAATTAGTCAAGAAGAATATATCGCTCTGATGATGATATTATCACCAAAATTTGACAATAAATGGTTTCTATTCGTTTGGCACTCGCGTTTTGTCAACTTTAATTGTGAAAAACTTAATTGTTTGTGCATCAGTGAAAAGGATTCCTTCATCGCTTTTGGGCATAGGTGCCAAAGGTTTTCGCCAAATTATACAAAGTAATTCATAAATAAACCTCTCAATAATAAAAGGCTACATTCTGGCTTGATGGCCAGTTTGTGAACGATGTTCAAGTTCTCGTTATGGACAAGTTTTCTCATTAAGGAATGCGCTTTGTCCAAATAATTGTTAAGCCATTTATCCCTGGTTATTTATTCATGGTGGATCAAAATCTGAGTAAACGATCGGGCATGGCCAGGGGAGTACATTAACTTTTTTTCCCCGGAGATCTTGTTTGTCGGCGGTTTGGCAAAGCGCATTTGTCCCATTCCGGCTCAATCCGATACCGTTTAAACGTCCGAGGGGGGTTTTATTGACAAGTGTTATAGGTCTTTTGTTCCAGGGTCCAGGGTGGGGTGTTGCTATGGGTACGGCCTTTGTCGGTCCCATCTGCCTCCTGCAGTCCTCCCTGGGCGCACACCCTCCTATTTCGAGACGGTGCCCGGATCTGCCGACTGAAAATCCGCTCGCCCTCGCCTCCGCCTCCGACAAGTTTTGTCCACAGATTTTCATCGAGTAGACCTCAAGAAGTCACTCCCAATGACTTTCAGCTGATGCAAAGAGACATCTCACGGGGTTCTGCAGAAACTCGGATCATCCGTGACTCTCTCCGAGGTAAGACCCTCTTTAATTATTTACCTTTTTTCCTCCCCGACTCTCAAACAACCCCCAACAGGGAGACGTCTCTTTTACTCGCTTTTATCTCATTAATAAACTGTTTCAGATACGTTTTTCAATTATAAGTCATTTTTATTTATTTACGCCCCTTAATGCATAAACAACTTGCTTCATCGCACTCCATTGCAAAATGAAATAAAAGCTTTTTAAGGAGAGTTCATTCTCATTCCTCAGGCCCCATAAAATACAATTTTTCGAGGTTTTATGTTTTAATTCCAACTCGAATATTCGAAATAACCATAAGTAAAACATTTTTGTTAATATGTAATATTTTACCAACGGAATAGTGACATATATTTTAAACAACTTAAGTTCAGGATTTACGAACTTAAAAATTCAAAATGGAGAAACAAAAACAGGCAAAAATGTATCAAATATAACATCAGTTCAAAAGCATTGGTTATTTTTTACCCTGTATAATTTTAATTAAATATTTGACACCTGTTTATTTTAAACCACAAGATTTAGATCCAGTTGGACCACCATGGAATCCAGTCTGATCTACATGTAGAATTAACAACTGCTGGTCAGTAACTACATCCTTACTGATTATCAATGCTGGGTTGCTTTTATCTACCTGCACCGAGACATAGACCACTTCCTGATCTATCTCCAGAATTAAAAGCTACTGGACAATAACTATATGCTTACTGATTATGATTGCTTGGTTGCTTCTACCTCTACCATGGCTTGGACCATATCCACTCTACAACAACAATTAAAAATTGCTGGTCAATAACCACATCCCTACGGATAATTACTGCTTGGTTGCTTTCGTCTACCTAATCAATAAATTGTCAAAGATGAGGAAACGAAAAATTTAAACTGACAATTTAAGCAGTTGGAAGAACAAGAAATGTTTTGATTAATAATGAAATAATCCAATGAATAGCATCAGTTCATCAGAAGCCATGGCACCTATTATTTATGGCACCAGTAGATCAAAATATTTTTGGCAGGTACACATATTGTGTGTATAATCAGACCATACACCAAAAAGGAATCTTAACTACTATGGCTCACTAATGACTAAATATGTTTTGACACCGGTGTTTTGGTTGCTTCAGTTTCCTTCAGCAAAATTGACTTATCTGGTGTGTTTTGGGTTAACATTTGTATCATGATCATTTACTCATTTTAACAATAAATAAAAATTCAATATAAGCAAAACTGAGCTGTCAATTTTCCAAACAAGGGCCTAAAGATAATCCTTCAAATATCTATTGATGTTGAAAAATCACATGCATTACACATGATTACATTGTATCAAGATTTATAGGTAAAATCTAAGATTGCAATAATATTCATGTTTTACGTAAAATGCATCCAGGCCTTTAGCAACATTGTAGAAGTATGATATAGCAATGCTAGCTAGCAGAAACACCTATATTTTACAAAAAGAAGCAAAACGTGGAGGCACCAAATACAAACCAGTAATCTTTTCATCCAGCAATCTCTAAACATTTAGGTTTTACACTAGAACTTAACTTATAAAAATCACTTTTTAAAAATGCAATATAAAAACTTTTAAGGGGATAAATCTCAAGATAGTTTATGGCCTATACACTACGAATATTCATACAGTGGACAAACAGTTTATGAAAACAGAGGCAAAGAACATCAGCAAAAACTGCAAAGATTGCCTGTCTGATAAGAGCAATGCATATAACTACATACCATGTAAACAACAATGGGAATGCTCTATCCATTCTGAGGATGACATTAAAAGAGCAAACAGACTTTTAATTAGGAGTATATCCCTAAATATTGGCCATAATACGATTAAGTATGATGGCTGCAAACATAACTGACAAAAAAATTGATTTTGACACACTATCAATGTAACTCCCAAATTCCAAATTGGAGCCTTATAAAGGTACATCAATGAATCCAAGATAAAGTTGAATTAAAGGTGTCCAGGCACAATTTCTTCCCAGCAAAACCCTTGAGACACATATCCATAATTTTTGACATTGAGGTTCCATAAAACTTGCCAACTTCAAAAATAAAATAAAAAACTTCTGCCTGTCAGAATCACAAAATTTTTATACCAAAAGATACAGGAAGACATCTAGCATTTTTTAATCAATATTTTGAGATTTCCAAGTAGGTCTCTCCCCTTATTAATACTGCCAATTTTAGTTCAAATGAAATAATAATTATGAGATAGTGAACTTAGGTTTTGTAAGAGACCAGACCTTAGCTTGATAGACTCTGACCATCCTGGTCTATAGTAGGACTTTGTCAGTTAGACATATTTTAGCATGTCACCATCTTCAGTGGTAGATTTTTGAAATGGAGAGATGCAAACACATGTAAGGCAGATAAAACCAGTGAGAATAGACAGACAGTGATATTCAGAAACAATTATGCTACATAATCATTATTGTTAATTGTTTTAAAGGTAATTTTTCTATTCTGTTATCTATGTTATACATTCAAAACTATCTTTTTTCAAAAGCCATCATCTTTTGCCTGAATGCTAACCAAATCTGAAAATTGAAAGTTCTGTTCTTGCTTTTATACTGTTGCAATATTCTACTTGAAATATATTTTTGGTGCATAAGTGAGTATTGTTGTTTCAAGACATGGAAGGAGTTGGTGGTTATATGTGTGCCGAAGGGCAAGTGCCAGGTAGGAGAACGCCATTAGGAGCAGTTGGGCTTGGCTCGCCCTACTATTTTCCTTCATCTTCTACCCACTCGGATGAAAACACACCAGAAACCCAACACCAACAAAATCATGCTAATAGGTAAAGTTATTTGTGTTGGTACACTTAGTACTTAGCAAGCTTGGGTTTTAAACCAAAATTATGTCGTTCTTTTATTCTTTGGATTAATAAAACAAAATTGAAAATCAGTGTGACTTCAGAATTCCTCGTAAAGGTTTCTGTAAACTAACAATCTAGCAAAAAATATAATTTATAGTTTCTTTCAGCTTTATAAAATTTAAAACATTTTTTTTAAGATTGCAAGGAGGACAGAGCGGTTTAAATAGTGGAGGTCCTGGGCAGAGTTCAGGAGGAGGAAAGGCTAAAGGAAGACAAGGGAAACTCGTAAGATTAAATATAAATGCAAGAGAAAGGAGAAGGATGCATGATCTCAATGATGCTTTAGACGAACTTAGAAGCGTCATACCATACGCTCACTCGCCCTCAGTGAGAAAACTTTCTAAAATAGCCACATTACTCTTAGCGAAAAATTATATATTAATGCAGGCGAATGCATTGGATGAATTGAGACGGTTAATTACTTATTTACAGGTAATAACATGATTTTAACAAATTATCTGAGATATTGACGTTTTATTGAAATTTTAGGCTCAAGGGCCGATGGCGATTCCTCCAGGATTTGATCTCCATGCTGCTATGTTTCCTGGAAAACCATTAGAATCTCCTGCTAATCAACAGGAGTCTTCATCTGATGGGCCCCTTTCATGAATTAGTAATTCATTCGTCCTTTCATTTTTCTTTTTTTTTAATAATAAATAAATAAAATCACTTTTCTGTAAATTCTAAATGTGCTCGTTGAACAGCACAATGACAGTTTTGTTGACTCGGTGACTAAATGCACTACTCCGTAATAATGTTGAACTTGAAAATATTAAATAGAATAACAATTGTGATTTCTGCAATTAAAAAATGATATAAAAGCAAGTGTGATAATTTGAATAAAATTATATTTATTAGTATTTAAAATGAGATTTTGTTATGCGTGATCAGTAGATATTTATTGATATTATTTTTTAACAGTATTACTGTCAAGGCTATGCTGTCAAACTTGCCAAACTGATTTAATATGTGCCAAAGGATTGTTTCCCTTAATGTAGATAGTAAAAGTGCCATAATAATTTTCCAATTATTATATAAGCCTGATAACTAGCAATAATAATTAAAAGCCAAAAAATGAATGTCTGTAGAAATCTAGTCATTAGTGTATTCATAAAATGAATTATGAAGTGCGTATTCATATTTCTTGTAGACATTTTTATTTCAAAACTATAATATTATTTATTTGTGTATTTTAAAGTGTTTATTTATTTACATCAGCCAAATATAAAAGAAAATATTAATTTATTTAAAAACATCCTAACTTGTAACAAAATAAAACATAAGAGGATGCAACGTTAGTCAAATTTAATGTATTACCAAACATTTATGTAAGTATTATTTAAAATTTAAAAAACACTTCGATGATTCATGATAATTGATGTTTATTATATACATAATAATGTTTATTGTGTGTTAGATTAGATATTGCAACTTACTGCAAAATTTATGTCCATTATAAATTATTTAAATGAATTTTTATCCCCAAAGAATGACAAATTTACTACTCGACTATTTTATAAATTCCAACTTACGACATTCCTTAGATTTGTTTAAAATTTGTATAGATCTAATTAAGTTGCCGTCCTCTAAGACTGAAGTTATAGAGTAAGGTAGAGAATGTCCTATGCATGAATACTGTCAGAATAATAGGGATGATGACATTTTTAATTTTGATAACTAGTAAATAGTTCAATATATCTTTGCATTATTTTCTTCATTCATTATTAGTGATGTTGTAATTCAAATACAATTTAAATTTTAAAAACAACAATGGCATTCGTATATTACTAAAAATTTGTAATAGACTCCTTTGATGACATACTGTTTAGTTAATGGTTTTGCACAATCATTCAGTTTATGTTTGGACAATTTTTTTTATATATATATATATATATATATATATATATATATTTTTTTTTTTAGAGGCAACAAATTGCCTTATGAATCAATGTGTAATAAATTTTTCAATATTAATGAATTTAATTTATGACCTTGGTTCATCATTATTCAAAAAATAAAACATTTCAAGATGATGACTTGATTGTTTTACTGAGTAAGTTTAGTAGGATAAAATACTCCCATTAACACATATAAATACAAAATATCAATTGACAATTAAATCCTTCATAAAAAATTTCCTTGATGAAACTACTCTAATTAAGTAGCAATGAATTTGTAGCAAAGTTTGAAATAGAAACTACACACCAGACCGCATCTCATGATCTCCAAATAATCGTTAACTAACGGTCACTAAACACCACACATAACTACAGTTCAAAAGTAAAAATCAGTTTAATTTGATTTAGCACAATTGTGCGGAGGAACTAGTAAGAATATATTATGCACCCTAAAAGTCACTCAAAATTATCTAATAACAATAATTTGAAATAAACCGCAAATGTAAAACACAAAGTCGCTATACAAGAAATTTAAAGTTTTCAATTTAAAATAATTTGTTTTTAAATGTCCATGTCTTTATATGTTTAGATATAAATTATTACATAAATCCTTAAACTTATATATCACCCAAGATTACCATGCATTACCATGATTTACCAAAAAAATAAATACAATTAATATAATTTTTTTCCTATAACAGTGTACTTAAATACACTGATGGACAAAATAAATGCACCACACTTAAATTTGAATGCATTTTATTTATGCACCTATACCAAAAATAGGTTTGGAGAAATGATGAAGGTGGGGGTGAATACGTAGCTTTTCAATTTTTATGCAAAGATCGTTGAGAAGAAAAGTTAGAGCAGGATTCAAACCCACAACCTCTGGCTTCTTCTCAACCATCATTGCATAAAAATTGGAAATAATAAATCGATACTAATTAAATAAATATGTAGAATAATTTTTTGTAAATTATGGTTCTACTCACAGTTTGTTGTTTTCAGCTTTCCAGATTTAAAGCTTAAAGCTCAGCACAGGTTGAAGGATTCACAACCAACTTTCTCGATATGAATCGTAAGACTGAACACAACTAACACTGATAAATACTGTAAGAAAATAATTTTTAATTAGTGATTATTTTGTATGTATGCCACATATTATTTAGGTACATATTTAAAATAGGAGGTAAATCAAAATCTATTGTATTATTTGTGCATTTTTCTCCGTGTTTAATTTTAATTTTTTTTTTTTTTTTCAAATTTCTCAAACCAACCTTTGTTGAAACTGTATATCACTATTCTATTTAAATTTAAATTTAAATTGTGTTTTGTTTCATTTAGATGGTTGTTAAATTCAGATAATTTGTTTGATTTAAGCACATATTTTTTTAACTCTCGTTTTAATTTCTATGCCACTTTGTCCTATATATTTAATATAGCAATCATTACAATTAAATTGGTAAATCCCATTTTTGACAATTTGTCAAGCTCATCTTTAAGTTACTAGCAAGTACAGCTCTCTAGAGCCTCTCAAGAGTAAAATAGTCTCAAGTGGTCAGGCACCTAAGTGAACTTAAAGCCGCATACTAAAACATCGAAAAATTCTAAAAGCCTGATTATTTATTCTAGTTGATATTGATCGACCTCCACAGTTTAAATTGATGTATTGGATCTTCTTGAGGTCATTTTTATTTAGTTAGGCCTGATTATTTAGTTTGTTTAAATTGATTCAGGTGTACAGGAAAAATTATACAACTGTAGGTGGACTCTTGGCTGCCAGGCAGCTCTGTGTATCACTTTTTAATTGGTGGAAATGCTCTGTCCACCTTCACAAAAGTGGCATATCTTAGTACTGTGTCGAGCTTTATAGCATCAGAGTATTTATTGGTAAAAGTGGCACAGTTGTTTTAATAATTGACCAATTTTTTTCATAAACTATTCCTGTGTGTCAAGGGATCAATGATTGCCATTGATGCATTCATGATGTAGAGTTTATTTTCACACACACACGCACACATTTTTTGTTTAATATATGTATAAATATTTCACATCACATGGACAAACTGATTCTAAATTTGTTAACAAATAACAAGAAGGAAACTGCTATCAATAATGATAATAAAGTCTGTCAGTTTTCAAATTCCACCTCTTTGGCAACTTTAAGGCAAAAGGTTATGGATATTCTTCTCATTGCAGTTTAATACCAGGTAAAGAGAAGAAAAGTTTGACCTATATTACCTGTTATTTCAGGCTCTTCAGATTTCACTAACAAATCTGGGAAGTATGAAGGCTCAGCTTCAAAGTTGCAGGTCAAAAATGTTACAGAAAATCAAAATATTGTAAATACTGAATTACCACAATTATATTTTCTGCGAAAAAAAATATCCTTAATGTCTTTAATAGAAATCTAACAGAATTCCTAGTTCTTATGCTGTGTTTTTCCCTTCATTGGGGAGAAGTAGTACTAATTTTAGAATTATTTCAGTTTTCAATGTTAGAAGAATCGATCACTTTTTCACTCATGTACATTTTGGATCAAAGTATGGCCTTGAAGAAAAAAGCAAATTCTGTTGTTACTGCCAAGCTTTCGACCTATTTTAAATCATCATCAGAACCTATATTAATTTCACATCATGAAAAACAATTGTTAAAACTATTTTACAAATGGTTTTCATAATTTGAAATTAGTATAGACCCCAATGATGACCTTAAAATAAGTCGAAATTACACAAATTTTCATGGTCCTCTTGACCAATTAATATCTTTCCATTAATTAAGGATTTTAGTTGAGATAAAAAAAAGTCAGTGTCACGAGTGGGATTCGAAGGTTAGACAAAACTCGTGGGTTCGAATCCTGCTCATGACACCGACTTTTTTGTCTCAACTAAAATCCTTAATTAATTGAAAGATAAGTCGAAAGGTTGGCAGCAAGGATTGAATTTGCTTTTTTCTTCAAGACAATACTTTGATCCAGAATGATCGTTATTTATTTTAGTTTCATTGTTTTTTATTTTAATAACATTCTTAGTTATAATTTTTTTTTTCATATTTTCAACAAGGTTGTCTTTTTGACTTTTACGTTGTTTTATAGTTTCAACAATTTTTTTGAAAGTTTTAATTACACTATGTTTAATCATCAGTAAAACCTTTATTTCAATAATTAATTTTTATTGTAAATAACAAATTAGCCCTCCAAGAGGAAAGCACATTAGTTTGGGACAAAAATAATCTTAGTAAAACTTACTTCATGGATATTTATGGTTGTTTGTTAGGTTTGTACGTTGACTGTAACTGCCATGAAGAAATTAATACACTTACAGTCATTCATTGCCTCCATAATCATTAGAGCAAACTATATAACTTAAATTACCGAGAACTAATATATACAAGAAAGTATCACAACTCAAAAAGGGGTAGTTTTTTTTATTAGTAGTACTACTAGATTTTTAAAATTTGGTGTTTCCTCTTGAGTCTTGAACAAATGAAAAACAATGTTGATGAATCATGTCAGTTTATATTACCAACAACCGTAATTGCGTGTACTTAATACATAAGTCAAAAACAATTAAACTTCCATCTCTCTCCTGTAAAATTTTCTTTTGTTGTGTCACTTTTATTGTGGGTGTGCGACGTCCCTCTAAAAGCTATTATAAAACCTCAAAAATATAATATTTAGTTGGCTTGTTAGGCGCGTTTTTCATAAGTTCAAAATTGAGCGCCAATAAGAATCAGTTTCTCATTGGAAGGTCGCGTTGACGGTTGATCCGGCGGGTTCACTCATGTCAAGAGACGTACTTGTCAGTTGTCAATCCTTGGACAGTTGGACCTGAAGATGTGTGTTTAACGCTCGAAATACGTATTGTTGAAAACAACAAATTTGTGAGTACAACCACCTTTTACAAAAAATTAAAAAAGTTTTAGTTGTAAAAATAAGACATTTAAGAAGAAAATGTTTATTATCTAATTCTAAAAAACAATTATTGAGTAAAGAAAAAAGTAAGTTAAATGCCTTTTCACATTCATTGGAAAAGATTTCTGGTAAAATACTTAGTAGTCCTTTCCGATTCGTCAAGGACAGCCGTTTCCAATTCTTCTAGGGTGTTAGGAATTGGGTTTCATTGTCGTGTCAATTAAGTTGGTCCCAAATGTGTTTGATTTGGTTCAAATCTGGACTTCGAGCTGGCCACACCAAGCATTCAGTTTCTTTTCCTACCTCATTCAGTTCAATACCTCAATACATGCTCTGATTGCATTTGCAGCAATCCTCAGTGATGTGGTGAGGGGGGGGGCAAATGTTCATGTTCTTCGGTC